GCACTCCGCAGCAGCAGGTCCCAGTATCCTTCATTCCCAGCAGCAGCAGCAGCACCAACAGCAGCAGCAGCAGCAGCAGCAGGCAAGGGACCCTTGGCCACCGTCTTCTCCCTCAATAGGATCTTTGAGGAGACAGTTAGATCATCACTGCAGCAGGTGCAGCAGCAGCAGCAGCAGCTGCTGCTGCTACCTGCAGGAGCAGCAGCAGCTGCTGCTGCTCCTCCACTGTGGCTGCTGCAGCATTGCATGCCAAAGCCCATGCAAGAGCAGCTAAAGTTTCTGCTGCTGCAGCACACGCAGCAGCAACAGCAGCAGCAGCAACTGCAACCGCCCACATCTGTTCTACAAGCAAAAGGTCTTGTTTGCTGCCTATGGCAGCAGCACCAATCAGTGACAGCAGCAGCAGCAGCAGCAGCAGCTGCTGCTGCTGCTGCAAATGTTGCTGCTCCTGCTGCTCTTGCAGCTCTTCTCGCAGCAGCAGCAGGCCGCCTCTTTCCTCCCCTTGCTGTTTTGCGGTGGCTTGCTGCTGCAGGAACACAGAGCAGCAGCAGCAGCAGCAGCACTAGCAGCACCTGCTGCTGCTCCTGTTGCTGCGCCGGTGTCTCTGAGGAACCTACGGACCTTGAGTGTCTTCTAGCTTCCCTCAGCACCAGAAGCAGCAACAGCAACAGCAGCAGCAGCAGCAGCGACAGCAGCAATAGAAAGGTTCTCCCCCTGTCTCCTGCAGCAGTAACACTGTTATGCCTATACACCTCAGAGCTGCTGCAGCGGCTAGATGCTTTCCCGAAGCAGCAGCAGCAGCTGCTGCTGCGTGTTGCTGCAGCAGCAGCACAGCTACATGTACACCGCAACGTTAGCAGCAGAAGGCCCGTTGAAATTAGGGCAGTGCAGCACTCCCGCTGCTGCCTTGCTGATTCGGTCATGAGCAGCAGCAGCAGCAGCAACAGCAGCAGCAGCAGCAACAGCAGCAGCAGCAGCAACAGTGGTTTGCTGCTTCACCCTCATAGTTGCAGCTCGGAGCTCAGCATCCATAGCAATTTAAGCAGCAGCAGCAACACACTAATTTGCACAGACGGCAACAACGGCAGCAGCAGCAACAGCAGCAGCAGCAACAGCAGCAGCAGCAACAGTTGCTGCAGCAGCAGCAGCAGTATTGTGCTTTCTGCTGCTTCGCCTATAGATCTGGTCAGTTATCCCCTGTCTTTGATGCATGTAAGATATTGTCTCCTTTTAGCAGCATCAGCAGCAGCAGCCCCAACAGCAGCAGCAGCAGCAGCAACAGCAGCAGCAGCAGCGAAGCAGCTGGCAGACTTCGCTGGTGGGGGCCCTTGGTTGTGGCTGCTGCTGCTGGGGGCAATTGACATGCAATACACTGCAGCACTGCATCACCTGCTGCAGCAGCACTTGCTGCCCCCGCTGCTGCAGCGCTTGCAACAGCAGCAGCAGCAGCAGCAGCACGAGCAGGAGAATCAGCAGCAAGAGAAGCAAACGCAGCAGCAACATCTGCAGCAAGTGCTGCTGCAATGTGCTGCTGCTATTGCTGCTGGCCTCGCAAGATGTACTCTTGAAGATGCCCGTGAGCCAGCAGCAGCAGCAGCAGCAACAGCAACAGCAGCAGCAACACCAGCAGCAGCAGAACCGGCACCACAAGAGGCAGCAAAAGCAGCAGAAGATACTGTGACTGAGATTCTGTGGCCTTGCTGCAACAGCAGCAGCAGCAGCAGCAACAAGAGGATGCAGAGGCACCAGCTTGTAGCTGCTGCTGTTGACTGCTTGCTGCAGTGCTGGAGCTGCATGCGCCTTCTCTGTACACCTGATGAGAAGGAACCACCGCAGCAGCAGTTGCTGCTGCTCCTAGTCGCAGCAGCAGCAGCGCCGCAGCAGCGCAGCACAACACTGAGGGAGAGAAAGAGGCATCTCCTTGCTGCAGCCAGGAGACAGCAACTGCTGCAGCAGGACTTACTGCTGCAGCAAGAGCTGCAGCAAGACTTACTACGACACGAGCAGTCGTTGCAGCAGCAGCAGCAACAGCAACAGGACCTGCTGCAGCAAGATCTGCTGCAGCAGGAACAGCAGCAGCAGGAAGCTGATGACACCACAGCAGGAAGCCCTCCTTCGCATGAGGGGCCCTTTCCTACTAGCCCACAGCAGCAAACAGCAGCAACAGCAGCAGCAGCAGCAGCAGCAGCTGCTGCTGCAGTGGAAGCAGAAGCAGCAGCAGCAGCAGCAGCAGGAGATGCCTCTTGTCTAGATGTGCCCTATGACAGCAGCAGCAAGAAAACTTCCTTGCTGCTGCAGGTGCTGCAGCAGGAAGCAGCAGCAGCAACAGCAGCAGTATCATCATCCTCAGACAGTGAAGAAGTAAGCCCGGTGTCAGTGTATGACTGCTGCCTGCAGCAGCATCAGCAGCAGCAGCAGCAGCAGCAAGGGGGAGCAGAGGCTGGAGCAACTTGTTGCGATGATCGCAACTGCTGCTGCAGCTGCTGCTGCAGTAGAGGAGACTCATGCACCAGTCGTCCTTTTTCTGTGAGGAGCAGCAACAACAACAACAACGGCAGCAGCAGCAGCAGCAACTGCAGCAGTTGCTGCTGCTGCTGCTGCTGCATCGCGCTGCAGCCGTCTGCCTGTAGGGGAGTCCTCAAGGACACCATCTTAGGTTTTGCTGCTGCGTTGCAGCAGCAGGGGGCCCCCATAACCCCGTGTGTGCTGCGGCACTTGCGGCTTACTGCAGCAGCAGCAGCAGCAGCAGATGCTACTGCTGCTGCTGCTGCCGCGTTACGGGAGGAAGAGCTGCAGCAGCAGCAAGAGGCTAAGAGCGTTACGCCCCCCTTCCTACGCAAGGAGACACTCGAGGTTTTACAAGAAAGACGTCAGCAAGCTAGCAGCAGCAGCAGTTGCAGCAGCAGCAGCAGCAGCGGCAGCAGCAGCAGCAGCAGCAGCAGCAGCAGCAGCCTCATGAGCAACAACAGGGTATTGGTTGGAGCGTTCGTTCCTGTTGATGCTTCACTGTATGGTGGTGCATCGGGTTCAGCAGCAGCATCTGCTTCTACAGCAGCAGCAGCAGCAGCAACAGCAGCAGCAGCAGCAGCAGCAGCAGGAGCAAAAGGGGTGGGGTTGCAGTGTGCTGCTACACTAGCAGCATTAGAGAGAATACGTAAGAAATGGGTAGCAGCAGACCCCACAGATGCAGCAGCAAACAATTAATGCAGCAAACAGCAGCAGCAGCAGCAGCAGCAGCAGATAATAGACCTGCTACTGCAGCTGCAGCTGTATTTGCTGCTACTCCATCAGCTGCAGCAGCAGCAGCCGCTGCTGCTGCTGCTGCTGCTGATTGTTTACGTCCGTTTCTGTACCTTCTTTATACTCTCTACACATAATTCTGGACATTCCTGCTGTTGTTGTTGCTGCTGCTGCTACTGTTTCTGCTGCTGCTGGTGCTGCTGCTGCTGCTGTTTCTGCTGTTGGCTGCATGCTGCTGCAGCAGCACTTAACGACACACAGTACCAGAGCTCTAGCAGCAGCACACAGGGGCAGCAAGCAGCATTTATGGCAGGAGCAAGAGCAGCAGCAGCAACAGCAGCAGCAGCAGCAATAGCGGGAGAGACATAAGAACGAGCACAAGCAACGGTAGCAGCAACAGGAGGAGCAGCAGTGGTAGAAGACACAAACTAGCTTCCTCCCCATCAGAGAGCAGCAGCAACAGCAGCAGCTGCAGCAGCAACAGCAGCAACAGCAGGACCTGATACGTAGCAAGAGCACTAGCAGCAATATATGTGACTAGAACAGCAGCAGCAGCAACAGCAGCAGCACAGCCTTCTGCAGCGGCTGCAGGAGCACAGTATGCAGCGCTACGGCAGCACGAGGCAGCAAGGCGCAGCAGCAGCAGCAGCAACAGCAGCAACAGCAGCAGCAGGTTTTAGTTTATATATGATATAAAAGACATAAATAATAAATAAATAAATAAATATATAAAAATGTTTTTTATTTAATTAATTATTTGCTGCTGCTGCTGCTGCTGCTTAAACCCCAGCCAACGGTCCATGACCAGCGGTGGTTTGAGACCTCGAGGGTTTAGGGTTTAGGGTTTAGGGTTTAGGGTTTATATTCTGCGTTCTTTTTATATATATTCTCTTTATTTTAACCCAATGTAAAAGGAAAAAAACCCTATACACAAACCCTAAACCCTAAACCCTAAACCCTCAGACCCCCGAGGGGGACCACCAGACCGCCGCCGAAAGGACCTTAACCCTAACCCTAAACCCTAAACCCTAAACCCTCGACAGACTCGACAGACATCTAGAATATTGAAAAACCTAAGCCCTTAGAAACAAACCCTAAACCATAAACCATAAACCCTAAACCCTAAACCCTAAACCACCAGCAAATGGATGACCAGAAGTGGCTCGGTCTCGTCTTCGCCTTCCTGGCCGCCTTCTTTACAGGTGAGGGCAAACCTTCCAAACCCTAAACCCTAAACCCTAAACCCTAATCTATAAACCCTAAACCCTAAACCCTTCCAAGCGGCCGACAGTATCCGGGGCCCCCTCATCCAATGTGCATCCCTTTGTGGGCCCCCTAAAGAGGGGGCCCCCAGGTTACCCTAGGATTCTAGGATTTAGGGTTTAGGGTTTAGGGTTTAGGGGTTTTATAGAGGGCCCCCATGCCGTCGGACCCTTTGGTGTTAGGGTTTAGGGTTTAGGCTATACACATTTAGTGTTTAGGGTTTACACGTTAAGAATGTATTCTCTAAGATTAATGTTTTATTGTTTATGCATTTAGGGTTTATACTTTAGGGTTTACATTTCTAGGGTTTAGGGTTTAGGGTTTAGGGTTTAGGGTTTAGGGTTTAGGGTTTAGGGTTTAGGGTATATATTTTTTTGCAGGTTCCTACCAGGTTCCTCGTAAATTTCTTTCTTTACGTCTTTCTTCTTCTCCTTCTTCTTCTTCTCCTCCTCCTTCTTCTTCTTCTTCTTATATAGAGGAAATAATATATGTATTTT